GTTCCTTTAAACTTGAAATTTATTTAAAAAAAAAAACAAATTCTTTTCATTCCAATCAACAAATTATTAGTATTATTTTTTTTTCATTATTCTTAATAAATCTTATTGTCTCAAAATTAAAATCTCCAACTCACACATATTTTTTTTTACTAATTCTCAACTATTTTCTTGGATTTTTTTAACAACCATCTTCTTTTTTTTTTTAATTGCACAATTACAAACAATCTTTTTTGTATACTTCAATCTTTTAAGGTTTTTTTTTTTTAACAAAAACTACTTTTTAAGTCACACGTGTAAGAAGTATACATTGCCAGGCAGGTGGCTATGTGGCTTTGGTTTTATTGATCCCTCACGGCTGACCCTACATCTACTACGACATCGGCTCCGATGAAAGGAAAATGATTTTTTATATAATTTTTTTTGTCTCATTTTTTTAATGTAATTTGATATATTATTAAAATAATTAATTTATTTAATTCACATAAAATTTATAATATTAAATATATATTTATTTAATAATATATAAAAATTATATAAAAAATTACGAAAAAAAAATTATCCTACAACACCACTTTCAATGAAATGGCTGCTGCTAGATCAGGGTGGACCCGCGCAGCCCATACGGTGCAACGTGGGACTGCCAATTTGGTTGCAGTTGAAGGGGAAAGGCAGTGACCATCACCGACCGTGGACCACCCACGCACCCAAGCGGTGAAAGACGGTGACAGCACGATTGCAGCACGTCCCGAGCCCCACTCTTATACATGGCCACATCAGTCCCGAAATCACATGCCTTGTCACGCCACGCGCTTTGGCCCGCAAAGTCTCCTCGCCACGTGTCTTCCACCTCCCCTGAATATCACAGTTGGACTTGGACCCACCGTTCGGTTTAACGTTCCAACGGAAAATCTTAAATTAGCCAATCAAATTTTTTCTTGCAACTTCTGTTGTACTGTGACCAGAAAAGGTCCAAATTCCAAAACAATAAACGAACATTCAGTTTTGAAACTAACCATTTAAGCAACCAAGGACATATGTTAATTTAAATAGAAAGTTTTTAATTTTTTAAAAAATAAAATTTCAAGTTTAATTATTATAAATGAAAAATAGATATCGAGAGTTTTTTTTTTTTATGAAATCTAATACGACTTGATTTTAAATTAATTAAAATTTAATATGATTTTTACATACTAAAGATTAGTATAAAAAAATAATCATTTAAGCAATTTAACAATAATATCTTCTTTATATAGAGTTTAAAAATATGAGTTTGAGACTAATGACATGTAAGGAAAATTAATAAAAAGATAAAAAAAATTTACCTCTTATTATATAATTTAAAATAACAAAATAATTCTAGGATTAAACTCCCTTAATTAAGTCACCTATTTTAATGTAAAATTTTCTTTTACTCACTTGAACTCTATTACTGCTTAAATGTTGCTTTAGAATTTATTTCCCTTTGTGTTTATGCAATCCCTCCCATTTTTAAGTTATCATATTCATATGTCATATAATTTAAATTTAAAAATTTTTTATTAAAAAATTATTATTAAATTATTTAAATTATGTTTAGTTTGAGAAGAGTAAATGAGAGAAAATCCCTATATTTAGATAAAATTGAAAATTCCTATATTTTACCTTATATGGTCTACCCAAAAAAAAAGAAAAAAAAAAGAGAGTACACAATGTAGGGTAGGCATAGAGGTGGCAATCTGCTTCGATCCCTCCACGGGGGCGAGACGTGGAAGAATATTCTTCCCTGTAAGGTGAGGATAGGGGGCATTTTTTTCCTCATGAAATTAGAAAAGGAATTTTTCCCTTCTCACGAGGCCTTGCGGGGATCCCCATTCTCATAAAAAATTAAAAAAATATATAAATTAATTTTATTTTAAATTTAATTTAATCCATTATATTAATACATAATATATATTTCAAACGCAAACCCAATGCAATAAAAATTAAACTTATCCCAAGTGTATTGGTTTAGTTATTTATATTGGATTAATCTTTATTTATATTTGGAACAAGTCTTTTGGTTTAATTATTTATATTGAATTGATTTTTATTTATATTTGGATAATTTATATTTAATTTTATATTTAAAAAATTTTAGTTAATTATATTTGAATTTTTAAAATTTTATTCATTGTACTTGAATATTGTTAATTATATATAAAAAATTTATATTTTGATATAAATTAGTGAGGAATGGGGATCCTTGTTTTGGTGAGGAATGAGGATGAGGGGCAAATTTTGGCCTATCAAAAATCCATGTGGGATCTCCATCTTCGCTATTTGCGGGGACAAGGACAAGAAGGGACTCCTTGGCCTTGTGAGCCTCGTTGCCATCCCTAGGTAGGCATGGTTTCTTCTAGAACTAATGTTAGTAAAGACTCTTAATTGCAACAAATTACTTAGTTTAGGGACCAATCTTTTAGGTTGTTCGAGACAATTTTCACTAGCAAAAACCTACTTTAGCCTCTCACCTTGTCAAGTTTAAAGGTTTTAACCTTTTACCTTATACTATAACATTTTTAACTCCTCACCTTACTAATTTGTAAGTTTTAACCCCCCACCTATTAAAATTGAAAAAAATGACCCTCATTTTATACCGATTGTTAACTATGTTTGCTGAAAGTAAGTTTTTGTCAATTA